AATATCTCCATAAATAAGAAAGTTGGCAATGCGCAGTCTGCGCAAAATAGAGAGTGCAATAAAACTGTCTGAAATGGGCAAATATAGACCATAGCAGCTATCAATTAGCGAAAACCCGAAGTCTCTAGGTGTCCCAGGGGCCGAGATCTCGATGGAACGGACGGACGGACGGACGGACGGACGGGCGGACGGACAGACGGAAACACGAGCACATAAGCGTTACCTCAACTTCGTTGTGTTACGCTAAAAACCGCTCAGACCTGGATACGATATTTTTAACCAAAATTATACCACAAACTGTAAAACTCATCACCGTGTTATGATTTTGATTAGTTTTCACCTTGAAGTAGTTATCCTAGATAAGTCATATTAGTGACCGTAGTTAGGCAATGCCAAAAGTATATTTTATAAAAAAGCCATTCCTCTACGTCAATCGGATCGGCTTAAAATCGATATACGCACGGACAAGTTTTCAAGCGGCGTTAGTTATTTCGCAAATTCTAATTAAACGCAACCACTACGGGCTTAATGAATGTCCATTGCGCCAATAACTCGACAAGACGGAGATAATGCAAAAAACCGGACCTCTCTACGATGTCTAGATCAAAAGTTTTTCAATCCGCCCAGCCAGCCAGCCAGCCAGCCAGCCAGCCGGACAAAGTGAAATGATAAGCTCCTTTTTGTTACCAAAAATGCGCTAAAAAGGAGAGCTTCGAGTACCTAACTACAGGGCTATAATAGTACATTGTCTACAACTAGGTATAGGTATCTATATTATCTGTGCCAAAAGGTATTCCGTAGGGTATTAATACATTTTGGGGTAGAATTTGTGAAAAACAGTGCGAGATTTCCACACCGAAAGTTGCAGTGTATGTATCAGTTAACAGGTCAAAAGCGTTGAAACAAAATTCACGCAAAATGGCTATTAACTTGATTAGAAAAACTTTCAAACGCATTAGTACCTTGATGTCCAAGAAGTAGATTTCATGAATAACATATATCCTTGTAACTGCTTGGTAACAAAGGTTGAAGACCCCACTTGCATTAAATAAAACGACAATTAATGTTTTTTTACCCACGGCTAGTCCGGTAATAAAAAATATTCTTATACCCCTTACCTTGCGGAAGTTTGGCCTATATTTAAAATTCATTGTCTGGTCATGTTGAACGACCCTTAAGGCTACAACCTAAAATATTTTCAACGAAATTGGAATTTTTTATCAGGGTGATTTATATCAGAGTTGCATTTTTTAATGGAACTCCCGTATATTATTATTTATTTCGATTCCTTGGTCAATTTTAGTGTGACTTTTTGCATTACACATGATATATCTAAAATTAGTCGTTTAGCCGAAAGTCGTCGTTTTTTCAAAAAGTAGATGTCCAGTAAAAATTGAATATCGCAGTTAAAAATTATAAACAATTGAAATTATAAAAAATTTACTCCAAATAAAACAAAACAAAAACTCAAAAACCATAAAAATCAAAATAAAAAGTTTAAATGAAAATAAGAGCAAAATAATTATTTCAATAAATGTTCAAGACCAAACGTTTGTCGATGGGTTTAGAAAATAATTCTTTGATACGACGAAGCGCAGCTGGCGTTATGGACAAAAGCATTACGAATGCATATTTTCATATTCTCTTTTTGTTGTTGGGACTTGCATACAGTTCCTCAATGTATAACGTTTGTCCTTTTTATGTTTTTAGTTCTCATTCTAAATATCATGTGTAATATATAAAGACCAAGGAATCGAAATATGTAATAATATACAGGGGGTTACATTTAAAAAATGCAACTTCTATATACATCACTCTGTATAACAATTGCAATTTCCTTGAAAATATTTTTAGGTTGTAACCTTAAGGGTGCTTCAACATTCCCCGACAATGCATTGAAATATGTGGATTAATAAACCTACAATCTTTCACCGACACATAAATGGCCTCTTCTGTATACACATACTTCTGAATATACTAAACAAAGTTATTTTGCAACCAAAGCACTAGCATTTACTACAATTAACTGCAAAATCCCCATCAATGAAACAAATTTTTTGTTTTGATTGGATTATTATCAATAAATAAATATAAAATCTATTTCATGCAAATAATTCTCATAAGTCGATTCCTTTAGGACGTGGGCAATATTCTCTTCCGGTAATAATTAATCTTATCTCTCCTTCGAAAAAAAGTCAACACCTACCTATTGCTAATTGCAAACCGACTTCAATTTCGCTAAAATATACAAAATTTTATTCATCGCCCAATGCGCTATCCAATAACGTCACTCAACTTTAAGAAACTTGCTTTTGACAAACTGTTACTGTTAGCGATCCGATGTAAGGAAACGTCTTTGTTTATCTCTCAGAAAGTTCTAAGTAAGATGAACGTATATACCTGGAATAAGCGTACGTACAGAAATATTAAATTAACCTGTACTGACTTTTATGAGAATTGTCTTTATGTTTATGATCATGTATCAGAATGTGATCCGATAGAACGAATGCTCTCTTCTGTACATGATACGAGGGCTTTCAAGCTTATATCTGAACATTCCCACTTGCGCTACAATGTTAGCGAAATCAATATTTTAATTACTTCATATTTACGAATTTAAACATACAATTAAATAAGCTACTTACCTGTTCTCCAACTCGAAAATGTTCCTTAGCTTGTTCCTCCGAAATAAACAGTCTTGCTATGAATCAGGCTGCTAAAAAACGTTTCCTCGTCTCGGAATTTGTCTATCCATGTATTCGCCCCACAAATCTCGTTACCGCTTCTTCGCGACGTGATTGAAAAATAGCAACAACGTTCTTGTTTAGCATTTTTTCACTAAAAATAAAACTGGTAACACTTTATCGCCACTTGTTAAATACTTACAAGCGAATTTCACTGCGAATAATCCCAATTATGCGAAACAAAATTCGGACACACCAAATGTACGTGTTCCTCCTTGAAACTCTAACCTCGTCTGCAGAAAACCCCCTTATAATACGGTCTCACTAGCGTTTTATCTCGAAAATGCACACATTTATCAAAAATGCAGGCGTTGTTATCGCTTTTATTTTCAGTAATACTTGTTCACTTTCGGTATGAAGCGGTATTTGTGTAAATTTTCATATGCTGAACAAAATACAAAATCAAACCGAATTTTTCAAACGTCGAAACGGCCACCTGTTACATTCTTCCCAAAGGTATCAAAGAAGGGCTATTTGAGTGAGTTTTGCCAGGCAGATGATGTCGGAACGTATCACCTCGATGCACTAACTAAACTAATAATTTCTGATATTTTTTTAAAAGGGACTTATCAGAGTTTTTTTAACTTTAAATGGAAGTGGATTGCAAACCAATTCCGGCAGACGAGCAAACAACGTGAACTACTGAGTATTCAATCAATTAGTAAATCGGATTTTTTTTTAATTAAAATTATAATTCAATAAAATAGAATCGCAGCAAGTAGTTTTGTTTAGGAATGGAGTAAAATTTGCGTTCCAATTCAGTATAAATTAAAAATGGCTGAGTTCATTAATAAAGCGCTATTTTGGGGCGTGAATTAATTAGAATTGTGAGAATAAATTGAAAGATTTCTCGCGGAATCATCGAGCGGGGTGCGTTCAATTCTTACGGGCTCTTAAGGTCAACTTTTTATGCGGGTAGTAAAAAAACCGAATCGCTGTTTACGGGCATCCGCGAAAAATTATAGTGAATAGATCATCCATAGTTCTCCCATAGGAAATATAGGTATTTTTTTATTGCGAGGACTTTGTGCTATACACGGAGTAAGTTAGGCGACGTTCTTACTGAGGAGATATAAGATAAGTGATATTTGTGGCGTTTCAAATAATGGGGTCACCTCAATATCTCTTTTATTTGACGAGATACGAAAAATATGTTAAATATAATTTTATATGTGACATTACGATCTATTTGATCGCATATTCAAACTTCCGGTGCCACTTCCGGTTTAACCGGAAATCTATACAACTTTTGTTTTTCAAATGCAATACCTATTTAGAAAATTTATGAAATCAAGCGGTGTCGTGCATTCCGTAGAATTTTGTAAATCGAAAGGATACCTTCCGCTTCCAGTTCGAAATCTATGTCAACGAGAAAAATTCCATTCTATCCGAATCAAATTTAGCGGTCAAACCCGGAATTCCAAAGTTGAACAACGAGATGCTAATGTACTTTGTTGTGTAAACTACGTCAAGCGGACCTTTATTTGGCTTCGGCAGTTGCGGTAATGATGTGCCTTCTTGTATGTCTAATTTCTATTTTTTATTAACGTTAAAAGTTAGTTGTCAATGGGAGTAATAGCAATTCCGATCACGTTATTTGATTTTCGATCTTGTCTTGTATCAGATAGGTTAGCTGTTGATTTTGTTTAAATAATTGTCTTGTTTGTTTATTTACTTGTAAATCTCAAGTAAGTGTAAATGACTAAGTTTATTCATCTGAAAACATTCGCGTTGTACAAAAGCTTATCTCGTGTTTTTCTCCGTTTATAAATAAGAAGTTTTCTTATCGTTCCGTAAGCTAATTAGTTTCAAGGTAAGGACGTGCTATCGTCGGTTCGAAAATAGAGATGCGGTTTGATATTTGGAAGACGCGAAGGTAAGAAGAAGTGCGAAAATGAAGAGAAGGAAATGGTTTTTAATAAGCGTATCGGACGTTTAGCGTGGGCCTTTGTTGAAGCTCTCTTTGGTGGAAGACGTGAATCAAGTTTTTTTGTCTTGTAGTCGTATTTTGTAAAACAGTCCGTCTTACTAGTTATATGTTTTGTAGAGGAAAGTTAGTTGTGTAGATAAAGATAGATAAAGGCATAGTGTAATGATAAAGATTAAGAGAAAAAGAATCAGTGGGCCACAATCAGTGACCCACAATAAATTGTACGATTCTCGGCGCCAAAGCTGTTTCAGTGGCTTACTTACACTTGAAAAAATTCAAACACGGGAATATGCATATTGCAATTATTAATAGCGAATTATCTTTAGGTTGGCAGCTTACGGTCTTACACAATCCGCGAAAATGGCACAGCACCCTCATCCACGTCGGACAAGGAAGGCTTGGACGTCCATCAGCTCGTCACCAACAAAAAATCAAGCACTTCAATTGCCTACCAAATTAAAAAAATATTTAAGAACATTTGCACAACACCCCAATTTTCTGATCCCCAGGTAAGTCAATATAACCCTTTTTTCATTATCTATTTAGTATTTTGCAGGTAGAAATGCTATACCAGCGGTATTTTCTAAAAATGAATCAAAGCAATATGACGAGTCTTATATCGCTGTTATTATTGTTTTGTGTAGGTATTTTTATTTTAACTAGCATTGATCTACTTCCGAAGGAAAGCAGAGTTACATCAGATCGACTCAATAAGCTCTTGGGATTTTTGTGTACGTCAGGATCGTGTGTCGTTATTTACGGAAGTACGTAGTAACTTGTATAGGCTAATGACTTTTCAGTGTTAATTCTTTTTAGTACTTCTAACTATTTTATCTCGACCAGCTATGAATGAGGTGTACTTAATTATAATCTCGTACTTTATACTGTCGACATTTCTCGCATTGCAGGTGAGGAACGGTGGTTGAATCTTGTCCCACAACTTCAGTTTTCCTTGCAGATTTGTACATTAATATATTCTGGATGGGAGAGACCAATTGCAGGCACAATAATTACATTAACATGTACATATCTCACGTACGCCCTACTCCCAATACGATTAAAGGACGCGTTGCTCTCCGGCTTTGTCCTCGCAGGAATTGACATCCTTAGCTTAATATATCTTAGTCTGCGATCTACATCTGAGGTGGGTGATATTATGGTAACGTGACAAGGAGCTAATCACTTTCTTCTTAGATTGAAAGCTGCGTAATAATTCTTATGTGCGGAAATATAGTCGGCACATGTACCCATTATCCTAGAGAAATCGCTCAGAGGAAGGCGTTTTTAGAAACACGTCAATGTATCGAAGCTAGACTGAAGATACAACGCGAAAATCAGCAACAGGTAAGAAACTGTTTTTAGTCGATCCCACCTCGTGCCTTTTCCTTATTACGCTAAAAGCGTACCCTCCTTACGGTTAACCGACGAAAAGTTGCTTCAAGTTTATTTACCCTCTAACGAAGTCTTTGTGTTCAGATTTTCATTACACGAAAATGTCTTTTATGTGGCGTGTTTCCAAAATAACTACTTATTTCTCTTTAAAACTTTTAACATTGCAAAGTGAGCCTGCGAGACCTTTTGAACAAAAAGTTTCAAAAAAAATATCTTCTCATTTACTTTACCAGTGTTGTGAATCGAACAATGAACGGGGTACACTATCCTATTCAATCCTACTTGTCCGCTTTAGGCAATTGGAATTTGTGGTTTATCCCGTTTTACTAACTTACGATTTCACATTTGTTTATGTGACTACCAATGAATGTTGAAAGTAATTGTTGGCATCTCTGCTACTTTAGTTTTAAAATATGTTGGCAATGTAGAAAACCAATAGTTGGTAGATAACTTGTACTTGTACTTATTATGGTGTGTCAAATAAATTTTACTTTACCTACAAGTATTTCGGGTTGAATATAATGGTAGTGAATCACTATTTGTATAGTTCTACGTTTTCGCAAAAATCGCCGTTCTTTATTAGGTTTAGGCGTAGGACAGGAAAGGCGGGGCGCGTATTTGGGCCGTAGGAACGTCGTTTGCGCCGCGAACGGGGAGAGACGGGTCTACGGGAGAGCCCTAGCTATGCCGAACTCGCCTTCGGCTCGCTCGGCATTGGTGTAGGAAAAATGCGAGCAGTTTTTCGTCGCGAAAGGGGCGAGCTCGAGCTATGCCGAGCTCGCCCTTCGGCTCGCTCGGCATTGGTATGCTTTCGCATATTGTGACCGGATCCGTTTATCGACCCCGACATTCGGGACGGCGGTTGGTTTATGCCGAACTCGCCTTCGGCTCGCTCGGCATTGGTATACGAGGCGCGTGTGTTAAGAATCGAAAGTCCTAGATTATTTTACTTCGTTAGGGGGAAGGGTTATTAAAAATGTTTGTTGAAATTTGTATTTCAAAAAAGTTAAACAAAAATTTAAATGTCGTTTGCCACCGTGGACGTAGAGACGAATCTAAGGGAGAGCCCTAGCTATGCCGAACTCGCCTTCGGCTCGCTCGGCATTGGTATAAAAACATGTACTGTGTGTTTGGCCGTTGGTAAATGTCGTTTGCCACCGTGGACGTAGAGAGACGAATCTAAGGGAGAGCCTAGCTATACCGAACTCGCCTATTGGTGTAAAATAAATGTACTGTATGTTTGGCCGTTGGTAAATGTCGTTTGCCACCATGGACGTAGAGAGACGAATCTAAGGGAGAGCCCTAGCTATGCCGAACTCGCCTTCGGCTTGCTCGGCATTGGTGTAAAAAAATGTACTGTGTGTTTGGCCGTTGGCAAATGTCGTTTGCCACCGTGGACGTAGAGAGACGACTCTAAGGGAGGGACAGAGTTATGCCGAACTCGCCTTCCGCTCGCTCGGCATTGGTATACGAGGCGCGTGTAGTAAGAATCGAAAGTCTTTATTTAGTTAGTTTACTTGGTTGGGGAGAGAATTTTTGTTTGAATTTGTATTTCGAAAAGTTTAAAAAAAATTTCTTAAATCTACAAATAACCTAATGTCCCAAGCTGCTTAGTGTCACACTCTGTTTAGCTTCATTTAGAATTTTTGTTTGAATTTGTATTTAAAAAAAAATCCTAAATCTACAAATAATCTAATGTGCAAAGCTGATTGGTGTCACATTTTGTTTAGCTTCATTTAGAATTGTTGTTTGAATTTGTATTAAAAGAAATAATCGATGTAGAGTGTAAGGAAAAGCCCTAGCTATTCCGAACTCTCCTTCGGCTCGCTCGGCATTGGATAGGAGATACGTGCGCCAAGAATCGAAAGTCCTAGGTCTTTTTGCTTAGGTGAAGGGTTGCTCGCAGAGTTCCATTAGGAAATTTAAAAAGTTAAAAAAATTCTCAAAACTACAAATATCCTAATGTCCAAAGCTGTTTGTTGTGGAACTGTTTATTTTCACTAAGAATTTTTGTTTCTCTGTTTAGTTTCATTTTTTTTATTGTTTCCAAGTGAGACGTTTAAAACTCGCGTTACTGAACAACGTTTGACTACGTCCAGAGATTTGATTTATTAGCCCCCTAACCTAAGCTAACTAACTAACCTACATCCAAACACTATCTTTACTCGAACGAGCGGAGAAAGCGGAACTAACTATCAGCGGAAATGACCTAAACAAAACCCCCTAACCGAAGAATGAGCTGAAAGGGAACTATGTTGTTCTTAGGGAAGTATTATACACTACGTGTACACCCCTCAACGCAGTACGCCATGGTACACGTCAGGGAATACTTCCCAATGGAAGTTGCGCTAAAAAGCACTACTTCCTAAAAAAATACGTCGACTTACATCGACGGAACCGCCGCAACGTTCAAATGAACTTACGCGGTTGAAATGTGGTATTATTTGAACGGTTTATTGCGCATGCGCCGATACAGAAGATGTATTTTTTTCAAATGGCGCCATCTATACAACTGTCACGGGAACTGTCAAAAAATCTGGGACATTACAATTTTATGTAAAAAACACCATTTTGAAGGGAATTTAACGTGTTTTATCGTTGTTATGAAAATGTCATCGTATACAAACCTACATTTGCACAATTTCGAGTAATCGACTTGATGTCGACCAAAAATTCATGCCGATGTGCATGTTGCTACGTAGCATAGACATTTACGATAGAAATGGTATGAAAATTTATTATTGATGTAACAAATTATCCCTGTTCTTCAAGAAGAAGTCCTATAGGAGGTTATTCATCAGTTTATATGCTGGTTAGAGCAAAAAGTATGTGCAAGATTCTAGCGGAAACGAAAGCATCTCGTCACATGAAATATTCATGCTTAGGAAGGTAGCGAAGTGTTAGTTTTAGTTCGTTACCTTTCACTTTTATTTCTACATGTTCACATAGTTTACTACTATTAAAGCGACCACCTACTACCACTTGGTCCAAACAGCAAACTACGTTATCATTATAAAAAGGTATAAAAGCTCGTACTTCAAATATACTTATTACCATTGGAGGACACGATACTGTAATACACAGCACCTTAAGTTATCCAATACTTGCTTGAGGATGAGTCCATTTCTAAAGAATCTCCTATGCAAAGGCATGTGAATTACTACCTACGAAACACTACCTATAGGTTCCAACAAAATTGTAAAAACTTCTTTGTCTTAAAATTTTTATGCTTTCAAGTATACCGTATGCATATTTCCGTTTGCTATACTATCAACGCTACGGGGTGCGGTAGTCGCGTAGTAAATGTAATGCATGAATCTGCTTTGCAATTACTATATGTTTATCGCTACCTGATATCGTCTGTCAAAGTGAAGTAGCGCTAATCGCATAGTCAACGAAGGAACTTCAACGTACTCCGTTGCCTATGTGAAAACCGCGATAATGAAGAATCATTTTACAACATCTGCTCTGCTGTGACAAATATTAAACAATCTAAGCGTATCAAAGTGCAGCCAACTGCGATTGCTCGTCGGCGAAACAGGGGCCTTCATGGGGGGGCAAGAGCTATACAAGCTGGTAGACCTTCCAATGCTGAAGGAATAAGAAAGAAAAGACCTAGAAAGAAAAGATCCTTAGCGGCAAATGTTCACTCAAACACAACAAATGCTTTGAGCCATGGCAGTGGCCATTGATAGTATTGATACGAGAAAATTATTTAATATAACTGTGTACCTATGTTCCATTTACCAACAGTATATTTTTTTGTAATATTAAAACACAATCATTATTTTCTGAAATAAAATATTCAAGTTTAAATAAAAATCTTACGTTTTGTAATGTACGTAATGTTACGTATTTAACGTAAATGTTTATTGCTGCATTCGCACAGGTAACGGAATGCGGTTAAAATTACTTCGTTGACTATGCGATTAGCGCTACTTCACTTTGACAGACGATATCAGGTAGCGATAAACATATAGTAATTGGAAAGCAGATTCATGCATTACATTTACTACGCGACTACCGCACCCCGTAGCGTTGATAGTATAGCAAACGGAAATATGCATACCGTATAGGTACCTACCTATACATATTATAAGGATTGTGTTAGAAATCGTGAACAATTTTAAAAATCATATTTGCATGCCTATAATACATTCATAAACAACAAATAAGGAATAGGTGCTACAACTCCTCACGACCACTCAAAATGAACCCATTATTTTCATGGATTTCTATTATAGCATGTAGACTCTGTACGTGGAGAAATCGTAAAGAAAATTCTCCCGATAAGAATAAACTTGTTCTACAGGAGGCTAAAACAACCCCAAGTGTAATAAGTACTTTGGATGTGTTGTTAATAACTAATACATTGTTTTTTAACATGCACATACAATGTGAAACGACTTGCTGCATGCAAGGCATAATGTGTACAAAGTGTACATGTATTTTTTAATATTTTTCTCATGATCCACATCAATTTAGCACAAAATAGATAGAAGTAAATTTATATTTAGATTTATGAATTTCTCTAGAAACTATGTAGGTATGAAACACCAAGAAACCGCAGAATCTATATGATCTCAAATTGAAATAATCTAGTAGGTCCCCTATTGATTCATGATTTTTTGCTACAGCATGTACTTAAGTGTTTCAGTAAAAAAATTTTGTAGGTAAGATTAGTTGGTATAGGTTTATTGTTACTTAAATGCTGTATACTTTCGACCATACACTTTGTGTACTTCAAATATCTTTACAATTCCAGATTAAATTAGAAGGTGCAACTTTATAGAAAATGTTCCTTTAAACATTAGTGTAATGTAGCAGTCCACTTCCCTCAAGTGATTAATTAAATGTGACATGTGTACTTTGTCATTAGTGGCCAGTATTTATCTAACTAATAAAATCCTTCTTGTTTTTATATTAAAGGGCTTACTATCTTAATAATAATCACGTTAATGTTATAGCAACAAATCACTACATAGTGTCTAAACCATTATATCACTTTAAAATGTGCTCTTTCACATTAGGAAATCTTTGCAGCAGCAATCAAAAGAATTAGACTTTTATTAATAACGCAATCTTTATACACTTTGAAGTTTCCTTCCTAAACGTTAATGGATTTTTCTTTGAAATTGTAAGTACAATTCAAGACACGTTAATATGAGTAGGTACCTACATAAACTTTCAATGGAAATGATTTTAATGTGGCCAGCCTAATGTCATTTGTATCTATACTTAAAACTACATAACATTTCGGTTTAATGAACATCAATGGATTGGATTATATGTCTTTCCCCCTTTCGAAGGTAAAATGGGGACGTACTTGTAAATTACATGTCGCAAATACGATCTCTATATCTGGTCTCTGTACCTGAAAGTAGATCACAATAAACGTTCTAAACGTGTTTTATACCTGCATTACCTTTAGAACTTGTCTTCACGTATAATTTCGACGAACGATATGGTACTATAAAAAATAGGGTTGTATTTTCATTTCATTCAGGCCTACGTTTTGCAGATGCGAAACGTAAACAAACTTCACGAGAGATAATTTCTTCCGTTTGGAAATGTATACCTGATGCCATTTGATTGTAACTAGGTAGCTTTGAAACTATATTTAACAATAACAAAAAGGTTTACAATAAGATTAAGCTCTCTCCAGTTAATGTAAACATTAAAAGAAAGCAAGGTTATAAAAACTATACATTAGAACTACTCACAGCTCTGTGGAACTACTACAGTTCCACAAACTGCTACCAATTACATAGAAAGTCTCGAGACTTGGAATTATATGAGAGACCCCCAAAATGTGAGAAATTAGTGTAAAATCTCGACGAGGCGCATCGCCGTCTCCGACGCAAAATAGAATCTCGACGATGCGCCTGCGGCGCATCGCCGT